AACAGGCAAGGCAGAGAGAGAGACAGAGAGACAGAAAGAGACAGAAAGTGAGAGCGAGAGACACAGATAGAGACACAGAGACAGAGAGACAGAGAGAGAGAAAGAGGGACTGGGCCTGGCCTGGGGTTTTGAAGGCTCAAAGCCCACCTCCAGTGACACATTTCCTCCAACGAGGCCACATCTCCTAATCCTCACCAGAAAGTTCCACCAACTTAGGACCGAGTATTCAAATATAGGAGCCACGATTGTCCCAACCGTCACGCCATCTTTGAGGGAAGTCAGGACAGGAACTCAAAGGAGGAGCCGTAAAGAGGGCTGTCGACTGACGTGTGCCCAGCCTTCTCGTTGGCTGCTGCTCAGCGTGCTTCTGCATATACCTCAGAACCAACACCTAGCGTGGCGCCGCCCACAGTGGCTGGTCCCTCCCCCATCAATCACCAATCCAGAAAATGCCCCACGGGTTTGCCCCAAACCACCCTGATGGAGGCAATTTTTCAGTTGCGCCTCCCTCTTCTCTGGTGACTCTAGGTTCTCACGTTGAACCACCAAGGACACAGTTCCTCCTCCCCCCCATAACAGACAAGCAAACAGAGGCGCAAAGGGCGAGCCCTGGACTGTGACGCACCCACTCATCCTGGACTCTGCGTCTCCTCTCCCCTGCAGTGCAGGGTCTCCCCAAGTCCCGACTGGGGTGGGGTAAGACCCCTGGCCACCATCTGCCCCTCATCCCCAGACTGTCAGGATGAGGTAGGTGGAGGGGAGGCAGTCTGAGGCAGTGTGGATGGATTGGGGCTTCCCCTGCCAAGACTAGAAAGGCTAGGGTATGAGTGGTACCCCCACCTATGGCTGAGTCCCTGAGCTGGCACTCTCCAGAGCTAGCACCTCTCTCTGTTGCCTGTGTCTGGGGTTCCCACCCCGGTGATATATGCTTCCTAGGCCATCAGCAGAATGACTCAGTCCCAGAAGCTCACTCAGGCCGGACATGAACATCCTCCACATTTGTGCCCTTCCCCAGGTCCCCACCATGATCATCAAACAGTGACACTCTGGAATGAGCCTTTCAAAGGTTAAAGGATTTTTAAGCTGAAGACAGAGAGGATCTGTCCTTGAGCTACTGAGGCAAAGACACTATTAGCTCAATAAAGATGACTTCACACCCCTCCCCCAAAAATCTGAACAATCAAGATCAATTTATATGGTGAGAGAAGTAAGGTAAACTCCTACCCATCCTTCAAAACCCTATCTGGACATGCCCGGCTGGAGGAAGCCTTCCTCGAGATGCTTATACCAGTACTGTGGCTTGAGTCAACACTTTAGGCTCTCAGTTAACTCCCATGTTCCATTCCTAGACTTGGATAATTTATGGACGGAGGGGTGGGGGGAGGTCAAGATGACTGTTGTAACAGGACTCGACAGCTTTGTAAGCTGAGCCCTTGGTCCCATCTGGCACAAGTGGCCATGGAAACTCGAGGAGACAGCATTGATCTGGGGCGTGCCTTGCAGGACCCCACCTCTGGCTTGTGGGTATTTGATAGTCACCTGGGTGCTGCAAGAATAAACTGTGAGTTCAAATACAACACTGATTTTCTTGTGATCCTGGTGTCCTTTGTAAGGGGGTTCAGGTCTCCCATCTGCCCCCCACTCTGCATCTGGCTCTGTGCCCACAGACCAGCTTTGTCGGGTCAGTAGAGAGCGCTCTGGGTGCATTGTATCACAGAGGAGAGTGGGGCTCAGGGAGGCCTGGGTGAGGCTCAAAGCATTGTGGGAAACAGCATTCTTTGCTCTTTAGAGAGAGGCATGGAAGTCCTAGGGGGCCAGTTCCATGTCTATCTGGGGATCGGCTGGGTAGAATAATCGGGTGAGGGGAGGGGTAGGGGTGGTAGTCACGTGTGGCTTGGAGCATGCCGCTGGGCTCCCGTGAAGTATCCAGTGTCCTTGCTGACCATGGCAGGCTAGGAGAGAAGCCCGGGCACATGACTCTGTAGAGTTCAAGGTCAGGGTCTGGTTCTGGCCAGCAAGCCGGTGTTAACAAGCCCTTCTGGGTTTCTGCTGGCAAATTTCATGGATCACGCTATAGGGGACACGTCATTAAAGATGTGAAGGGGAGAAAGGGGCATCTCAGTCACACCATAGAGCTGTACTTGGAGTTCTGGGCCACAGAAGATGGTGGGAGAGCCTCTGATTGGATGGTATCTGCATCCATGGAACATGAGGAGTGGAATCCAGGGCCTCCACTCCAACATTCCATGGAATATTAAAAAACCCATGGGGGATGGGACATGGCTCAGTGAATTCAGTGCTGCTTACACAAGGGTGAGTGCCTGACAGTTACATGTCAGGTGTGGTAGCCACCTGTAACCCCCATGCTCAGGAGATAAAGATGGCATCCTCAGAGCAACCTGGCTAGCCAGACTAGCCAAACTGGTGAAAGCAGGGCTCTATAAGTGATAGGGAGTGATGAGGGAAGACACATGTGCACACACATGTGAGCACACATGTGAACACGCATGTGCACATACATGTGAACACATATGAACATGTAGGCACATGCGTGCACACACGTGAACACATATATGAACACACAGGCATGTGATCACGCATGTGCACACATGTGTGAACATACACAAACATGCAGGTCCATGTATACACATATGTGAACACGCATGTGAACACGCATGTGCACACACAGACACCCCACACATAACACATGTGCACCAACTAAGGGTCCTATGGAAAGAAACAAGCCCTGCCCACAAATACGCCCCAGACACCGTTAACGTTGTATTTATTGTTATTTAAGCTGCTCAGCAAAACATATACACGTATATACAGTATGCGTGAATACGGAAGACTCAACTTTACATATTTTTTTTTTAAAAAAAGAAAGAAAAATACCACTCAGTTCCATGAGCTATTGTCAGTCACTGTCTTCCAACCAAGCATTCAGAAATTGTTTTCTTTAAGAGTCAAAAAAAGCTTACAGGCTCGCGCAACGCACCGCAGGGTTAAGGGTTCGTATTATACATGTGCAATAGCGATTTCCTTCTCTCTACTGGAGTCGGCTGCGTACAGATTACAGTGTTCCCAGGCTCCTGCGCTTCGGGCGTGGTTTTCTTCTACTTTTATTCTTTCCGCTAAACCAAATTTAATGACGCGATGTCCTTTTGCTTAAGGCTATTTTAAAAGCTGTTCCACCCCCGGGGGAGGGGGGTCGTGGGGAGCGAGAACAGATAACACCGAACACTTCCGGGTGACCTGAGCCACACTTCCGGGTGACCTGAACCACAAGCTGCCTGTGGAGTTGATGCTGGGAAGTTTCGCTGACGGCCATTAATTAGCTCATCCCCAGCCTTAAGCACTGAAAACTGTCATTCTTGTTTGGGGAGTGAAAGGCTGGCACCCTCAGACAGCTAGATGTCAGCCCATGGACGAGGGAAGCCATCCTCTTACTGATTTGAGCACAGAACAGAAGGCCCTTCCTGCTCACCAGCACAGGCCACGTGTCTCTGCCCTCTGAGCCCCCATCACACTGCCCAGGCGACAAGTGCAGACCCTGGGGCTCAGGCCTCAGCCACAAGGAGGAGAAGGAGGACTTGAGGGAGATAGCCCGCTTTTGGCAAGGGGCTCCCACAGTTGAAAGTCCCTTGACACAAGATGGGCGTCAGGAGAGACCCGAGCCTTCGGACCTCTTGCTAAGAAAGGGAAGGGGGTCTGTCAAGTTAGGGTGGGGGCTCAGAAAGGAGTAATTGAGGAGACACGCTGACAACAAAGAGCAAGCTGAAACAGGAGTGCTGGCCCTGGCCTGACCCTCCTGGGATGCACGGCCCCACACCATAGCAGTGGGCCACATAGGTTGGCGGGGTACAGACCACACTCTAAGCTGTCATCCATATCAGCTTGACAATCTGTTCCTCTCCACTTAGGCAGAAGTGTCTCTCTCAGGGAGACACACTGGGCAGGACTCTGCTTTTAAATCAGAATGAAACCAAATCAAAAGGGCAGGAGACATCCCACAAAGGAAACATGAGGCCCAGAGATGGGCATCATGAAGACTCTCAATTTATTCTCCTTCCCTCCCTCCAGGAGCTGTGTAGGACCAAAGAGTTTCCCGGCCTGAGTCTGGCTGCCCCAATCCTTCCTCCCAGGGATGGTATCACTTAGGGAGTGCTATGCAGGGTGGAAGTGGGGAGCTGAGGTACCCTGGCCACCATCTGGGAGAGCAGGGCCAAGTCCCTTGGAAAACTGACGGACCCTCCCTTGTGCCCTGTAAGGGTCACAAGGCCACAGAGAAGGCAGAGGATACAGTGATTTCAGGAGAGGATGCTGAAGGCCCTGGCTGCATCCTAGCATCCAGCTCACTATCCAGGAGGGACCAGAGGGACAACTCCCAGTGGGGAGAACGGAAGCCCCGTGAAGGCTAAGGGCCAGTGGGGAGAGGACCTCTTTCTGCAAGTTCTCAGGGAACAGAAAGAAAAAAAGAAAAAGAAAAACAAAACCCAGCACCTGACAGCTTCTTGAGCTATTCTGTGTCTGTCACCAGTCAACGCTGCCATGAACCCTGCGGATTCCACCTGGGAATGCTCCAGGACTCTATACTCTATCCTCCAAGATCTCCGTAGGGATGAACAGAGCAAACAGAAAAGACGGAGGGGAAAGAATCAAAGAGAATGGTGGTTACAGGTATCCCTGGCTGGGCTTAGACAAGACAAGCGCCTTCTAGAACACACGCCGAGTACAGGAAATGGGGGTTCTCTAGCAGGAAAAAGCCTTGCGCCAGCCGGCATCTGGTGCTGAAGATGACACGGGTGTGTCACGGCGTGGCACACGGTTTCTTTAAGATAACTTTTTGAGGTTCTTTTTCTCACCTTCCTCAGCCCCCTTTAAATGAACCCTTTCCATTCTGAGTGCCACTAAGCAAGTACCAACCTAGACCAAAAAATAATAATAATATAATAATGTAAAAAGTATGCTCGGCCACAGAGGCCCTCGTGGTGGTTAGGGCGGCGACTCCCGTGGGCTCAAGTCAGGGCGGCCACAAATGTCCCGAATCGGTTGGAGATGTCGGAGTGCAGAGACCGCCAGGTGGGTACGGAGGTGCGGGCCTTGGGGTCACCATCTGTGCAGTGGACAGTCAGGCACTGCAGGTGACTGCCGGGCTGGGTGGCTGAGGCCTTGTTGGTGGGGTGGTCGTGGGCTGTGGAGAAAGAAGATACACATTAGTGACTACTGGGAGACTGTGCAGGGGTGACAGATGAGGGGATGGGGAGAGGCGGTATCTGGCCTTCTTCCATGACTGGAGAGGGCCTCCGAAGCTTGGGCTGTGAAGATGATGTAAGAAAAGCCTCACCACACCACAGTACACCATATTGCATCCAGGTCTGTTACCCTCTGGGAAGGAGGGGATGATGGGATGACATCATAGTTTGTCCATCTCTGATGGGCAAAGCCAACCAGACACCAGGAGAGCGAGAACACCATCTGAAAGCACATCGGAGCGCTCACAGGGCTTTACAGAGACTCTGAAGAAGTGAGGCGTCTACACCTGCTGTGGGCCTACTATGCGCTTGTAACGTCCTTAAACAGACAGACTGCCGAGCACACCCCAGGAGCTAAGAGTAGTCACCTCACTTTATAGCTAAGAAAACTGAGCTCCAGAGAGTGGAATGGCCTGACTCAGGGGACATGGCTGACAGGACAGAGGAGGAGTCAATGGGGACAAGTGAGGCAGAGGCCAGACTGATCTGTGGCCACATCTCTGTAGCTTCCTTCCATCCAGACCCTTCTGTCCCTCCTTAGGGCACAGGGAATAGGCTCAGAAGAGGTGGCTTGGGGAGTGGGCTGGCAAGGGAGAGGTCTATGGGGCATCTACTAATTTCCTTTACCCTCCTAACCCTGTACTTCACAGACAAGGCATCTATGGCCCAGAGAGGTACAAAAGCTTGCCTGCAGACATACAGCTCTGAGATTTCAGTTCTAGCTCTACAAAGGAACACAAATTGAGTTCTCTGAAAATGGGGTGACCCAGACACATGACCTCAGGGGCTTCAGCTATCAAGGCAATGACTGCCCTCAGGGGTTTGTATAAACTGTAAAGTGCCTTGAAGTGCTTTAGGTAGTAGACAGGGTTCAGCTCCTAGACTATATCACTATGGAAAAGCCAGTGGTTGAGGTGGTTCATGGGAACTCACTCAGCCGGTTACACAGAACCAGAACTACCACAGGTCACAGTTGTCTCTGAGTAGATATGCCCCCAAGGACCAGGCATTGAACAGCCACTAGCATGTTAGTAGGGGTTAGGCCAAAACCCTTCTCCTCCGCTTGAGATAGAGATGGGGAACTTTCGGAGCACACTGTCAAGCAATTCTGGGCCCTGCCCTACTATGTTTGAGTGACAGTTTCCCAAGTCTCCTTTTCCAGAGGCTCGGGTACCCTACCCAAGACTACCCTTCTGCCGGGAAGGCTGAGAAAGCTAGGTTTGAATACTGGTGACTTCAGTAGACAGGCAGAAGGATGAAATTTGGGTGGGGCCCAACTCAGATTAAGGGGGCACACCCAGATACTGAACTCCATGGCCTGTTTACCCTCATCACTACCGCAGAAGTTGCCCACCCACCCCACCCAGTACCTAGGATTAAGAGCCTAGCCCTAACCTGCAGGGAAGAAAGACTAAGTGCTAAGCCCCACCCCCTGGGCCAGGCAAGCCTCCATGACTTAGGGCCCCACTCTAGGGCATCTGGACCTGCAAGGTGGGGAAAGTAATGGAATCTGCCCTCATTCATTCAGTCAAGAAGCATTTACTTGATACCTATTATTGCCCGGCATGGTGGCCCATGAAACCTCCCAAGTGACAGCAGGCAGTACCACTCTGTGATCAACTGGAATGGCTCAGAAGTGGTATTTCTATGACTCTGTGATCAGTGACAACTCTACTGCTTTTTTTCCCCTAGACCCTCTGATGGCCTGGTATAGAGAGGTCTCGGGTAGGGCTGCTCTCGGCACAACCTTGGAGAGATCAGAAGGGAACCACCCAGAAGCCTGTGAAATCCCTCATTCCCTAAGTCTTTGTCAGGTGGTCTACCCACCACCTGAGTCTTCACTCATCTCCGCAAAGAAGCTGAGGTTTCAGGCGTAGGTAACGGGTTGATTTTTTGCTGGTGGACCCGTATCTAGAACACCTCAGGATGACAGAGACAGAGGCTCAGCCCTTAGCACATGCAGGCCCTAGCTGGTCCTACCATGCTTACTCTGCTTGACCCCACTCCCAGCAGAATCCCTGCTTCCTGCCCTGTGTTAGATCATTCCAGAGTGGACTATCCCACAAGGAGCAGGCCATCCACTCAACAGGTTCACGTGGCCATGGCTGCATTCATTACGCACAGAGAGAGACAGAGGCACCGAGAAACAGAACCCCTCATCAAAGCAGGGATGAACCATGTGAGCTCAGGGCAGAAAGACCCCAGCCCAGTTCTGACTGCAGGTCCAGGACGATGATAGGAAATAGGGTCCCTCCTCCATTTCTTAAGCATGTATGACTGGCAAGCTCAAATAAATCCCCAGTCACTCTTTGCCTTTGTTCTTCCTCCTGACACTTGCTAAGCTGTGTCTGGATCTCAGAGCCAGGCCTTGGCTGCACCTGAGGTAGACTGTCTGATCCCATCCCGCAACAAGCCAGCAAAGCACTATTCTTCCTCCATTTTGTCGAGAAGCACCTGTGGCTCAGAGAGGGTGAGGATCTGGCCTGATGGCACACAGCGTGGGTTCGAAACTCCCCTGTCTCAGCAGGGAGCTTACGAGGCAGTCAACCCCAGTCTAGGGTCTACACTTGGTGGTCCTTTTAGGAGAGAACGTTGTTCTTCAGCTCTTGACTATGCAAGCATGACTGTAGTCATCCTATCTACTGGATTTTTACAGTGGGGGTACCTATTTCTTCATTTGTTACTGGAGGGGCTATGCTGGGTGAGCCAGGCTCCCAGCAGCTAAGGGACCGTGGAGCCTCATGTATATAGATGAAGTCTGACAGGACCCACCAGAGGGGAGGGGTACCATCATCTCCATGATGGTTTGTATTTGTCAGAGAGTGGCACTATTAGAAGGTGTGGCCCTGTTACAGTAGGTGTGGCCTTGTTGGGGGTGTGGCCTTGTTGGAGGGGGTGTGGCATTGTTGGAGGAGGTGTGGCCTTGTTGGAGGAGGTGTGGCCTTGTTGGAGGAGGTGCATCACTGTGGGTGTGGGCTTTAAGACCCTCATAGTAGCTGCCTGGAAATCAGTATTCTGCTAGCAGCCTTCAGATGAAGATATAGAACTCTCAGCTCCTCCTGCACCATGCCTGCCTGGATGCTGCCATGTTCCCACCTTGATGATCGTGGACTGAACCTCTGAACCTGTAAATCAGCCCCAATTAAATGTTGCCCTTATAAGAGTTGCCTCGGTCATGGTGTCTATTCACAGCAGTAAAACACTGACTAAGACAATCTCTAAACATCCTCTGCATGAACCTCACTGACAGTGGCATCCCAGGGACAGAAGCCAGAGCCCAAAGCTGACTGGCCAGGAGAATTTGAAAAGCTCCTATGAGAAATGAGATAGATTTCTCATGCCCACAGCCAGGATCAAGGCTGGCTCTGGGTGGCCCCTGTGAGACCTCTGAGGCCCTTCCTCCTCTCAAGACCAAACCCTGATGGCCACAGACCGCACACGGTCATCATTACAGATGGCTTTGCTTCATGGCATTGAGGTCAGAGCCGGTCTAGCTCACCCACTGTAGCCGCAACACCCGTGGGGGCTTCTGTTTGCCAGGCTTCAGGTCATAGCGAAACAGCGAGACTTCAGCCACAGAAACAGAGGAAGCAGTGCAGCCTAGCCAGGGGTCAGATGCCTGATATCTCCTTGCTTCCCCTGTGGGTCCAATAGCAACGGCAGCTAGCACCTGGGCATTGGGATATCTGTGTGTCCCACCCTTGGGCTTCAGACCCTGGAGTCAAAGAAATGGAAGCAGGCTGTGCAAAGGGAGCTGAAAAACCAGGACTGGGAAGGGCCTGACGTGACTTGAGTGGGTACTGGAGCCAACTGCCCACTGGGGCCTGTCGTCTTCCCTCCCTCCTTCCCCCTCCTCTTCCTTTCCTCCCTCCTCCTCAATCCCTTCCCCCTCCTCCTCCATTCCTCTCTCTTCCTCTCTCCTTTTCTCCCTCCTCCTCCAGTCCTCCCTCTTCCTCACTTCTTCACTCCTCCTCTCCCTCCTCCTCCCTCCCCCTTCCTTCCTCTCTCCCTCCCTTCCTTCCTCTTCCCTTCTCCCCCCCCCACCCCACCCCCACTCATTCTCTCCTTTGCTTTGGGCGTTTCCTCCCTTGTCCTTTCTTTCTTCCTCTAGACCAGCACAGCAGTCCTGGCTGCCCCTGTTCTGCACGGAAGCTCCAGCCAGGATCCCACCTGGGGCCCGTGCTCAGGCACCAGCAACCTTGTTGGCAGTCTCCTGTCTCAGTCAGTGACTCTCCAGAACCATTCTGAATCCTGGGATGTGGCTTCTGGTCTGGCCTTCTGTTCTTTGCCCGCCAGAGGGATGACCAAGACGGGGGACATGAACGAGGTCCAGCTAGTGTGCAGATCGAGAGTGGGCACAGAGGGGAGGTGGGTGATCCCACCTCTGGGTGTGTCCACGAGACACCCAAGCCTCTAAAGGGCCCAGAGCCTACACGTGTTACTCAACAGCCCAGGATTTGGGGGGTCCCAGACCCAGAATAGCGGTGCTTTCATCTCTGTAGGGGCTCCCTACGGCCAGCTTGAGGCTGAGTCGGTATTTTTAACTCATGGTTTATGTAAGAGGGAGTGTGGGCCTGAACACCAGCTAATGCCTCCCCCGACATCCACCTCACCCGATTCCCACAAAGGGAAACATGTTTTGAATTTTCTTTATTTGGACCCAGGAGGGGTAAAGGGAGAGATGCTGTCTCCAGTGACTTTTGACCTTGGCTGGGCCATGGCTGCTGGATCTCAGGGCTGGATGACCTCTTTTCCTTGACACTGCCCACACCAGCTCCAGCCTGTCCATACCAGTTCCAGCCTGCCCACATCAGCTCCAGCCTGCCCACGCCAGCTCCAGCCTGCCCACACCAGCTCCAGCCTGCCCACACCAGTTCCAGCCTGCCCATACC